TCTATTCTTAAAGCTATTTGTATAAACCATGTCTTTCTAGTTTCAAAATTTCCATTTTCAGATTTGTCATTTTCAAAAATTTCATCAACATCAAAATATAAAAGACCACCCAAAATAATTCCATTTTTGCCATTTATATAGTAATTAAATTGCTTCTCGAATTTTTGTTTTTCTTCAAGGATTTTATAAGTTAATTGTATTGGATCTCCGAAATTTACAAACTCTTCATAGTGTCTTGCTATTTCTTGAGCTTCATTCTCATTAATTTTTTTAGCGGTTTTAACATATCCAGTGAATTTTATCACTGTAGGACTTTTTTTACCCTTATTTCCAATAAAGGTTTTCCGACTAACATTGTTTTGTTTACAATATAATTCAATTATATCATTTGCCTTTTCCAGCGTTATGGATGGTTCACTTGGTCCATAATATATTGGATCAACCACTTTTCTCGATTTTTCATTAAAGATATTTCCATATAAATTCCATGGGCGTGTTTCTTTATTATCATTTACTAATATTTTTCCATTTGTATCAATCATGCACCAATAAAGAATTACTTTTTCATGAAGAGTTTGCATTGAATTGCTTTCAATAGTCTTTTTTACTTTTAATACAACGGTATCGCTTGACCAGCGTTTGATGTTAATGTTGTAAGGTGAAATGCTCTTCTGTTGCTTAGATACAAATGAAGTTACAAGAACAGAATCCGTATATATTCCTTCAGTCTTCAAATATACATTAGTTGGAATACCACTGGTTTCAAGCTTTCCAACTTTTATGCCAATGTAATTATTCGCACAATATCCTTCTGACTTAGCAAGCACAAACCATAGTACTTTTGTTGTATCCTTATTTAATCTTTTAAAAAAAATAAATGATCAATTATTAAATACAATAAAAAATAATAAATAAAAAAATAAAATAAAATAAATAAATAAATAAAATAAACAAAGAAATAAAATACAGTATAAACTTTATCATACCTTATATTATCACCTTTATGAATTAGCGCAACACATCTGTGTTGATCTGTATGATCAAATGCAACAATTGCTTCTTGAACCCTCTCCCATGACTTATTCTTTTTTATAACACTTCCATAAATCTGATAATTATTATCAGGCAGCGGTCTTGGAAATTCAATTATTAATTCAGATTGATCATCCTGTGTTAGTGAATTTTCTCCATTAAAAACAATATGGTAATTATTATCATTAAGATCCACTTTATAAATTTGTCTCCAATCTTCCAAAGAAATAATTCTCCAATTGTTAGGGTTATCTCTAAGAGAATTGTACCAACAACCAATTTGATTTTGCTTAATAGCTTCATTTTCATTATTGTAAAATAATGAAGTATCAATATAATATTTTTCACTCAAGTTTGTTAAAAAATCTTCAAGTTTTTCTTGAAAGCAAAAATCGTTTTCTTCAAAGTCAATTTGCTGCGAATTGACAATATTTATTATAGTGTTATGATCTTGTTCATACGATCTTGATAGAATCCCACCAATAATGAGATTTTCTGGTAATAAATTTCTATATTGATTTTTAAATACTTCAGAAAGACTCTCATATGGTTGAAAATTTTCATAAGATTTATCTTCCACATCTAAAAATGTTTCTGAAAGTACGATACTTGATAAATCAAAGGAAATTTCTGCTACAGGGAATTTAATTTGACACAAAATTTTCTTTAAGTGGGGATTATTAGAATGTTGAGAATCTTCTGAAGGATCGAATAATAACGAAAAATAATCATCAGGAGTTTCACTAAAGTTTAGCTGGTCCGTTTTTTTTATTGCTATATTATTCTCTAATAAATAAGCCATTTTTTCGGTTTGAGGTTGTGCCAATAAAACGCTAACTTTATTTATTGGAATGATCTTTGGCTCTTTTAAAAACTTAAACGCAATCTTTTGTTTATGCCCTAATTCTGAACTCTGTACAAGCGTATTATATCGCAAAGAAAATTCATTAACCCAATCATATGCATGGAATAATAATGAGGGTTTTGATAATGATAACCACTCTGAAAAACCTTTCTGCTCAACCTCAGATGGAAGTTGTGGAATTAGCACCGGAAGAGTTTTATTGATAAATTGCAAGGAAAAGCATTCAACTATCTGCTTTTTTAAGTTATCACTTAATAGTTCATAAGACGGTTTATAGTCTTCATATGATATAAGTTCAGCTTCTTTATAGTCATATAAATCTTTTAACCAAGAATATAGATCTTTAACTGTTTTCATAGATCTTGGTGGTGAAGTCCTGAAAAGTGGAAACCCATCAAGCGATTCGTCCTCAAAAATTGATGGCATTTCCCCTTTTGCATAACCTATCCCCCATTTTAAGTACGCTTGTAAACGGAAAAGACTTTTAACATTGATATTTGAACAGTCAATAATTATCGCACCTCCAATAGTGACTTTTGTGATGATATAATCGCCATATTTATCAAATTTCTCTCTTAATTTTTTTCTTTTTTCATTAGCATCTAAGATATTAAGTGCTTCTTCAATTTCTTGAACAAATTCTTTATTTAACCCGCAATAATGCTCTACCATGCAAATTGGGATATTAATTCTCATAATTTCTACATCAGAAAAAGGGTTTTCACTGTCAGAATGTGATAGAACACCAAAATCATTTAATATTTTCCAGTTTCCTTTTGCGAGATATACAATTGGATTAAAATTATCTAATTTATTTAATTTTAATTCTCCATTGTAATCTAAAATATTTTTCTTCCCGATGATAAAATCATTCCTATCACGAATCCTGCCTTTATTTAAGTCAAACCGATCGACGAATTGTACTTTTTTCATCAATTGATTTTCAAAATCATCGAAATCCAAAATACAATCTTTAATTATCACAGTTTCATTAGTATTTGTTAGTAAATCAATATCCATGTATAAATCATCAATGCTATTATCATATATTTGATCATAGGATATATTTTTTAACTCTTCAAGGATTTCAGAACAACTTGGTCTTTTATCTACATATAACCATTATGACTAGTGTTAGCACATATATAAATTGAATTATTAAAAATAGCATAGTAACAAACCTGAATTTATATCCCAACACTTTTCATAAAGATCAATATATTTAAGAGGTGTTCCTTTTATAGGCAATTCTCTAGCACAATTAATTATTTCAACTGCCAATTTTATACCATCAAATTTTTTATAAAATGGTTCAACACCATCACTAGATATTTCCCACATTAAAACACCAAGGCTATAAATATTTAATTTTGTTTTATCGATTGTATTGTATTCGTTCAAATATTGAGGGGGTGTGTATGGAGTAAACGGAAGTCCATTGGTGGTATGAAATTTGGACATTCCTACATTGGTTATTTTTGGTGTTAAATTATGCATCAATATATTCATCGGATGCTAAAAAAAAAAAAAAAAGAGAGATAAATTGAAAAAAAAACATAAATTAGAAGCCATGTAATAATATCGATATGAAATATAACAAACTACATAGTAGTGTAGTATACTTCCGAATAAAAACTTTAGCTATTAGACTTATTTTCGGAAATATACAATATGGAACAAAAGTTAAAGCCTTATACGTAATACAGAAATTTCACATTATCAATAGTCGCAGTGTTACAATATGAACAAATAGCATAAGTTCACACAATGGCTGTAAAATATGCCATTTGACTTGAACTTTTGAGCCATCTTCTCATCATTACCCCAAAATCAGCTCTGTGAAGTTGGTCATGAAGAATCTTTGCCCAACTTTAAATTATAAAAGGGTACCTCTACATGGCGATCGTGAAGATTGTTTTATCGTAAAGATCATGTTACGAACAACCTTAGGCGATTTTGGGGTACAGTTAGGTAAGTTTCACATGATAATAGTAATATAACAACAAGCATATGCTGCGCCTTTATTCTAGCTTAGAGGATATAGATGTATGGCTAGGGATGGCATCGGCTTATAATAAGCCGGCTCAGCCATGAGCCGTAAGCCGGCTCGGAGCCTATGTGACTAAAATCGGATTTATCATGTGATAAAATCGATTTTATCTATATACTTCAAATTTGTCACATATTACATGAGCCGGCATGAGCCGGCTGGCTCGGCTTTACGAGCCAAGCTGAGCCGGCTCAAGCAGATGCCATCTCTAGGTATGGCTTAATGAAATTTAGAGTAATTACAAAAAAAATAGGGCATAAAAAATTTTAGCGAGCAAATTTGCCCGCTTTACGGCTTAAGGGGTAATAGTTCTATTGTTGTAAAAGATTGCTAAAAGTAAACCAGAAATATAAAATTTCCAAAAATTTATCGCAAAATTTCCATCTCGACAAAAATGATAATGCTATTTAGTCTGTCTGGACTATGAATAGTTTAATCCCAAAGGCGCAAAAGACGTAGGAGAGTTTTCCATGCACGCACGGGGTGATCAATCCAAATCAATCGCGATGCAATTAAAATTTGGCCTTTTTACGCAATTTTGTTATGTACAGTCAGACCTCTAAAAATGCATTGTGACGAGACTATCTAATTAGTCATGCATCAGAAAGATATTGCATTTAAGAAGGTAAAAATTTATAAGTGTTACATTCGTTGAGTCTAAGTGGAGACATGCGTTTAAGAGGGTTGTATTTAGAGGGGTCTGACTGTAATCAACACTAACAAATCTAAAGTTAATATTATCTTAAAATAAATCATCACACGTATGGAAAACTTCTCCTACGTGCTATCAAATTCGAATAGATCAAATGTAATGCGAATATACTATTATTTTGTGAAATTTCAGTCTCAAGATATTCATAGATAACAAATAAAAATTATGTACCAGCTCCGGATGAATAATTCCATTATCATGAAGAAATTTTAGACCTTTAGTCACTTGGTACGCCAATTGTAGTTTGTCGTCCCATGAGAGTGGATAATTCGATGAATGTTTGTTTCTGAAAAAATCACGCATGTTCCCGTTATTTGCGTGTTCGCGGATGATATAATAATTCATATTTTCTATATTATATTATAATATTTGTGATTAATTATTTTTTGCATTTTACTTGACTGATACACTCACCGCACATAAGGCCATAGACCTTGAGAATATTTTCGTGCTCAAATGTTCTAAGCTATAATAAATGTGGTTGTTGTATTTTTGTTAATTAAATATTAATTTTTATTTTTATTATTTTTTATTATTTTTTATTTTTTTAAGCATACATACCTCTGTTAGTAATCTTTCGACGTCTGTATTATCGTATTTATCATTTAGTAATAAACTCAATGTTATTCTTTTATCATCAAGAGCCTTCCTCTCCGAGTTCGGTAGAATTTTGAAATCTTCCTTTTTTCTTATAGGTAACTTCTTGCAAGCATATAATTTTTGAACGCAGCTATACGCTGAACTATCAGTTGCCGAATGCATAACTTTTGTTTTTTAAAATATAAAGGAAACGAGCAGAAACTTTTTCGCTTTTCTTTACATTAGTAAATGAGAGTATCAATCACAAATGAAAGGTTAATTAATACATAAATACGGTACGTACGTACCACAAATATTTTGTTGTGCAATTACCTATTTTTATTAATTTTCTATTTTTGAAGCGAAGGTGACAATCTATTTATGAATCATAATCAATTTTGAAAGTCCATTCTGAAGTGTAACGTTAAAATTATATATAATTTTCTAAGGCAGGAAAATTCAAGTATGATTAAAAAAAAGGATTATAGTCTTGAGTGATTATATTAATTCTAATATCTAAGCTGAAGAAACAGATATTGAATTATAATCTTTTAAATAATTGCTAATGATTTAATCTTATTAAACAGAGATAGTTTATTTATCTTTACAAAATGAAACAAAAACCAGAAAAGATGTAAAACCCGATTAGACAATTTGAATTATAGAACAGATCAAAGAAAATTTTCTTTCGAATAGGACTTAACGCAGTAATCCAGTGGTGCGAATATATACTCTGCCAGAGTAACTATTAAAATAAAGCCACACTAGAGCTACTACTCCAAATTAAACTCAATGTTTTTACCGAAGTATTTTCACTCCGAATTAAATTCTATATTTCAAATATATCACTAATACTGTATCTCATACTTTGATACCTAGAACAACTTCATTTAATGTCAAAGTCTCAAAGTAAAATAATATATAAAAGCAAAAAATATTGATTCATTTCTCACAAAAATTTAATACTATTTTATTAGCAACATGAAAGCAGCATTATACTACAGTTAATAAGGTATACTGTAAATTTAAGATTTGTATGTAATACAGTATGTTATATAATTTTTAAATAATAATTACTATTGGATTTGTTGACCAAATTCGTGTTTCAATCAAATTCGTATAATTTTGATCTATCATCAATAACTCGCGATTTGGTGATTTTGATACCATTCGAATCCTCACAGTGTGAAGATTCGAATGGTATCAAAATCATCAAGTTTGAATAACAAGTTATCGATGATAAATCAAAATATACGAATTTGATAATTTGGTCAACAAATCCATAATAAAATAGTTCAAAACTTATCGTTAGTGAATCAAATATAGCCTTACATAGTTAGGTTTATACAGTATAACAAATATTTTATCAAGTGGATCAAAAAATTTGACAATAAGGATAAATACGTTATCAGTCATGCTGATACAGCCTAAATACTTATTTTGTCAAGAATCTAACGCTAAGATCTCTTGGATGATCTTATAACCAAATAAACCAGTTAGACCGATTTTTTGTTTAACATGGGATGATTTGTTGGGATACGTATTAGATAAATTTAACGGGTGTTGGTTGGTTCATATAGAATTTAGAAAATAAGGATTATGCCCATCCATGTTCATATCTTCTTTACCGAAAGTTTCAGAATTTTGTCCGATCTTGTACTTTCTATTCGACATATTTTGAAATAGTAAACTCACGTATTTGATATGGACTAAGTGCCTTATGTAATAAAAAAAATTTTGACGATACGGGCATAGTCCACAAATGTTCATGTCCATATTTTGCAAACACTGATCTAACTCGTGTGATTTTCTGTGTAATCCGTAGTGCAGACAGGCCTCATCATATAAGACAATAAGTGTATTTATATAATTCAAATATATGTGGGCTAGAATTTGAATATACAATCAGAGAGACTGTCACTGTGGCCGATTATTAAATTGCAATTAATACACATTGCACAGTACGTTACAACGCAGCTAACAAATTTAGCTGCATAATCTTCGACTGATTCGGGTAAAATGAAAATCAAAGATTTTTCTACGTATTTCCTTTCTATATTAATATATAAGTCAAACTTTTAATTCACTGATATAAATTAATATGGGGTGCTCGTATTAAAAGGGCTCATTTTGACATATACCTCATTTTGAGATAATTGAGTTTAATCATTTGTTTTGATTTTCGGATTGATCCGGGATTAATCAAATTTCACGATTTTGATAGCATAGAGGGCTTTAGGCAATCATTAAATGTATCATCACATATACATTGCATATATCATCTGACTTTAAACGAATTATATGCCATGAAAACGAATTGTAGAACGAAACCGAATACATATTCACAAACTACACTTCACATTATATACTGTAAAAGTAATTCGGAGAACAGAGAAGTAATTCGTAAGTTAGCTACGGGGTGTACTTTTGTCATATAGGCTAAAGCAATTCAGTAATCGGCGAGGTAAAATTACACTTTGGCTAATAAAGTGTTACTATTTTTTTTTTTAACTTATTAATTTACAAATAATGATTCAAGCAGTATTGCTAATAGTTGTTTCTTTTTAAATATTTTTTCTGAGTATAGATTATTTGATCAAGTTTTAAGAGTTATAGCATATTAAATATAGAGTAGTATAGAACATACACAATGTTTCTGTAGTTAATTTTGGGGTTTTATATGTACTGTTTATACTCTCTATAAGCATATGGGGTCTTTGCCTTAAAAATAACCTTACAGGACTATGTAGATTTTATGAATAAAAATTAAAAATTCTAGCTGTCTAGTAATCTAATTAAAATTTATTTTGTAAATCTTAGTTAGTTCTACAAAATAAAAAAAAATTATTTGAATTTGATTATTAGGTGGCTAGAAATTTTAATTTTTACTTATAAAATCTACAAAGTCTTGTAAGGTCATTTTCAAGGCAAAGGCTCCATATATTCTACCTATTAATAATTGATGTTCTATAATTTATTATATTATAGATTATTTTGGTAAATTATTTAACTATACGTACTATATGGGGTGTTAAAAGTTAAAAGGGCCTATTTTTACATATATTTCATTATGAGTAATTGAGTTTAATCATTTGTTTTAATTTTTGGACTGATCCAGATTAACCAAATTTCACGATTTTGATTGGTTAAAAGTAACAGGCGACTATTGGGTAATCTCGTAATGTGCTTGGCCTCATATAATTTTCTTTTATATTATCTCTATTTTTCATTATGCAGATTGACTTTCATTTATAATTGAAAAATGTCAATCATGTCAAAATAAACATGAATCTAATAAAAACTCAATTTTTTTAAAAATGTAAAAATGGGCCCTTTAACTTTTAACACCCCATATAGTAGCAAGTGATTTAGTCAATAAAGGTTTCTACATATATAATTTTACCAATAAATTGTTAAGCTTAAAGATATTAATTTTTTTAAATTAAGTTTAACCAGATGCACAATTGACAATAACTATTGGGATTCAAGCATTAAATATTATTATTATGAGTAAAAATTTATAATTTTAATATTCTTTTATTAATGAATTTTTTACTTTGAACTTATTTTCTATTAGCTAGTCAAATTTTGTTATGTTACAAAATGATCTACAAAAATTAGCTAATCATAATGAAAGCCCTCTATGCTAATTTTGATTGGTTAAAGTAACAGTTGACTATTGGGTAATCTCGTCTTTAAGCAGCCTTGTGTAATTTTTCTTTTACATTATCTTTATTTTTTATTATGCAAATTAACTTTTATTTATAATTGAAAAATGTCAATAGTGTCAAAATTTATATGAATCTAATAAAAACCCATTTTTTAAAAAATTGCAAAATGGGCCCTTTTAATATGGAACACCCTATATTATCGATATATGTGTAAATACAAAAATACATACATGTATGGCATCGGCAAAAATAATACCTGATTTTTTTATTAACTGAATTTAAAAATATATATATAATTTTTTTCATGTTTATAGTATATACATAAAAATTTTTTTTTTTTGCCTGATCAATATTTGCAATGTCTACCTTTTGAATCAAATACTACTTTGATCCTTGTTGAAACTGAGTTTACAAACTTCAAAAAAACTAGCTTTTCTAATTTTGACCATTTTTCAATTAGGGTGATTTTGAGATTATCTACTTCTTTTGAAAAATCTTGTTGGCTCTGAATATTATCCTTTAATACCTTCCAAATATTTTCAATCAGATTAAGGTCAAGAGATCTTGCAAGCCAGTTCAATTTAGAGATTTTTTTTCTTTAAACCAATCGGCTACTTTATGTATTGGCACATTATCTTGTTGAAACATAATTTTTGCACCTACTAACAAATGAGATGCTTTGGCTCTTTCATAAAATGATACTAAATGGTCTTCCAGAACTTTAGTATATATTTTTTTATTAATTTTTTGTTTTGGTCCTTTATACTCATCAAAAAAAACAAGGGGACCCTTGATCCCACTAACGAAACAACTCACACCATTACTGAACGTCTACCACTCTTAAAACTCAGGATTAAGCACTCATTTTTATAACTTTCACCGTCAAGGCACCATACTCTAATTTGGCATGATTGTTTACCGATTTCGACAGACGTTTGATCAGAAAATATTATATGCCGCCAATCATAGGTGCTATACAATAGATATTTTTAACACCATTTAAACCTTTCCTTTATGTTTTTGTCTGTAAGGAATGGCTTCCTTGCTACTACACGAGATTGAACACCAAAGCTTCAAAGAGCTCAAGAAGCAGTTCTCAAACTGCACTCAAGCTTTAAATCATTAACTAGGACATGCAAAGGCTTGTGTCTTGTTTTCAGGGCTGCTTTTACTAGAGCATTTTTTTTTGTTGTTTGAGGATGTGGGATCTTCCAGACCTTGGCAAATTAGCTATTTCCTTGGTTCTCTGGTACTTGGCAAGAAATCTTCAGATTGTGGTGGGATCATGCCCTATTTCCCGGGCAACCTTCTAGACGCTCATATATTCAATATAAACCAGGATTTTTCCTTTTTCTTCATCTGTCATTAAAGTGCTAGTCATGCTTATATTAACTTTTTTTTTTGTGAGTATTTCGTAGAAAGTCAAAATAAGAAAAAAAAAGATTTTCCTACAAATTGCTATAAGAGATAAATATTATGTATTTATATGATTATCGATCACAGGATCAAAAA